CTACGAACTCTCTCGTTTCACCGCATATTCTTCGGATTATCGTTGTCACTACTCATACATGTCCTTGGTAAGCTTAACATTTTTCTGGTGCAAACTTCTTTCCCATGCTCCACCAGATTGCTTCTTACGGGATTCGGTTAAAGACTATCTCCAGGCCTAGTAACGACATAAGAATGTCTTGTCTGCCTTCTCTGTATATTTCGAGGACTTATCTTAAAGCAAAGAAAGCATCCGTGGTTGATCTGCCTGGCATAAAGCCAAACTGGTACGTGGTGATGTCGATCTCGTTCCTCAGTCTTTTGTCCAGCTCCCCCTCTTATGCCTTCATGGTGTGACTAAGCAGTTTAATTCCCCTTTAATTTTCATAAGCGATCATGTCCTCTTTCATTTTGTGCATTTCCATCAAAACACTCGCCTCCGTGATTTCGGCATTTTCTCACATCCCATAATTTTGTTGAATGGCGCTGAGCCCAATCTCGCTTTCTTGCCCCAGTGCCTTCCATGCTTCTATAGGAACTCCGTCCGGGCCAAGGTCCTTTAAATTTTCATTCTGCTCAAGGCTCAAGGCTCCACTTCCATCGGTTAGATCTTTTCGACTAGGATCTGGCTTTTGGGATCGGTTGCGAATATCTTTCTCATCGGTCAGCATCATTCCACTGTCGTCTTTTATGCACTTAATTTTACCGATGTCTCTTCTTCTCTTCTTTCTCTGGCTTTTGCCATGCGATATATATCTTTTTCCCCTTCCTTTGTTGCCAGTTTTTTTACATAGGCTCTTGCACGCTCTGGACTTTGCTTTGGCGACGACTTTCTTTGCATCCGTCTTTGATATGGCATATTTTACTCTGTCTTCCACGCTGTTTGCCACTTTGCTCACACTTGTCAATTCTTGAACCGCTCTTTCTTCTGTCGTAGGGTCGCTTATACGTACGCATTCCACCACCACGTTTCTTTCTGGATATGGATTGTGCATTTTGCTTCTCCGTCAATTCCTCTGGCATTACTTATGAATATGCTGACCATCCGCTCCGGTACTTCGTCCACTTCCCTATTCAAGTTTTCCTTCGTCATTTTGTTTCGTAACTTCCATTTTGAATGCTTCTTTCATCTCTCCTTAGAGTTTCCATCACTATTTTCAGAGCTCTTGCCGTGCCCCTCGTCTGAATGGACTTTTTCTGAGAGAGGTTTAGGACCAGTAGCAGGTGCTTGCATGAGCCGGTTTCCCTGAGGATAACGTTGCAATCTCTGACATTCTTAAGTTCATCCCTTCGGAGTAGAAAGTAGTCGATCTGACTTTTTTCCCGCTCTTGTCGATTAGCAGGTGATTTTCTCTTTTCTGGAAGAACGTGATTATCAAAGCCAGGTCATATGCAACTGCCATCTCCGAGATGTTCCCTCCTTCTTTATTTAGCATACCATGTCCATTTCCGCCATGGATCCTGTCGTAATCCCTTCGATGCTTCCCGACGTGCCCATTAAGGTCACCTCATTTTCAATTTTTGTGTCGCGATATGTCTTGCAGGACAGTGTCTAGAATGTTAACTTTTTTGGCTTTATTCTCGCTAGTCTGGGGGATGTAGACACTTATTATATTTAAGATATCACTTTCTAAGGTCAGCTTGAAGTCCATGATTCTGTTGTTAATTCGGTTGGCTGCGAATACCATATTTTTGGTCGCTTCATTCAACGCCACTCTAACTCCGTTTGTTCTGCTTGGTGCTCCACAGTAAATAAGTTCATAGTTTAGCCCATTCTCTTTCGATTTTTCTCCTTCCCGTTTTGTTTTCTGAATACTAGCGATCTAAACTTTTCTCCTCTGAAGAGCTTCCGCTAGCTCCATGCCCTTTCCCGCCATTGTTCCAATGTTCCAAGTAGCTATTTGCATTTTCTCGCTTCTTTTTCGGCATGTCCATCTCTCCCTTTGCGGTTGCCGTCGTAGCAATAACTGGTACCCTTGCTCGTTTCTCACAGCCGCCGAGGTTTGCTGCTGCGCCTCACCTGTGGGGAACGCCCTAGCATTCTTTATAGTGGTAAGTTGAGTCGTCATATTTGGCTTTGGCATTGGTTTTTAAGGCTGGCTGCCTGCCTGACGCCAACCTGTCTTTCTCCACCGGGCTGAAAAAGAGCTTAAGGCTCGCTGGGATTAGCAGCGTGCTTATTTGATAGCGGCATGTACTCGCCATGTCACCGCGCAGTCATCGAGTCATGCGGTATGTTCTAGAGCCGACTTTGCCGAAGGTCGGCTCGCCGCACCTCGTAACCCTCCGACGATTATTGTCCCGACGTTGTCGCCGACTGATTATTCGTCGGGATCTCCGCTTATTTCGCTAACCCTCATATTCGAGGATTGTTTCACTATCCTCAGCCTGTGGATACGTTCGGCGGCATCTGATCTTGCCATTCGTCTGACATTCGTCTGACCTTGCCTCGGCGCTACTATCGAATTGAACCGAAATGCAAAACTGACTACGGTATGTATATAATGCCTACACTTTGAAGTAAAATTTTCCACTAGTATCTTCGTCTCTAACATATGTAATTCCTACTCGAGCAAGTTATGTTTCGACCTAAGCGTGTTTGATGCTAAATATCATATTCCGAATATTTCAGGGAGGTATTGGAATTTGTTCAAACTGTCCAGAGTCTGGCCTAAAGTTTACGAACCCGTGGAAAGTTTGCAGGCGGTTTGCATAATTCACTTCTGGAACATATTGGCTGTCTGATGGCAATAAAAAATTGATTTAAATGGTAGTTAAGTCGAAGAAAGTAAAACTTTACCAATTAGTTTCGAATGCTGGCGCGGAATTCCTTTAGGAGCGCGACAATAAATACAAAGATCCTTAAAATATTTTTTGTATGCTTCATATTATGCGTGGTTGCACTGAACTGAAATAACTGATATTGCGTAGGCTGAATCGAAAGCCTTCTCGAAATCGATGAACCCTAGGCAGGGGGAAAGCTGATATTAGTTGTTTGTCTAAATTGCTTTCTGTATCACCTGAAGATCATTCACTTTAATAAATCTACTTTGGAATCCTACTTTTGTCATGGGCTGTGGGAGACCAGCCTTTTCCATAAGTTTACTCGTCAGTAACTTCATGAAGATCATGTAAATGCTTGACAA